ATAAATGATTGTTATATTTGTAATGCAATTAATTAAGATTATTAGACCTGTAATTAGACTTATCATATAAGATTGTGTAGTGTTCTAATATTATTTGAGTTTTAATATAAGATTATTTTATTGCAAATTAGACTTAGTATGACATTATTGACTACGGAATTGGTGCGACTCCTAGCAATTGACTATTGTAGTCTTAATTAGACTTAGCATATACGCACGAAACACTTAGCATACATGACTATTTTAGTCTTAGCATGTAATATTATTTGAGTTTTAATATAAGATTACTTTATTTGTAATTAGACTTAGTATGTAATTATTGACTACGGAAGTGGTGCGACAAGTAGCAATTGACTATTGTAGTCTTAATTAGACTTAGCATATACGCACGAAACACTTAGCATACATGACTATTTTAGTCTTAGCATGTAATATTATTTGAGTTTTAATATAAGATTACTTTATTTGTAATTAGACTTAGTATGTAATTATTGACTACGGAATTGGTGCGACAAGTAGCAATTGACTATTGTAGTCTTAATTAGACTTAGCATTTACGCACGAAACACTTAGCATATACATGACTATTTTAGTCTTAGCATGTAATATTATTTGAGTTTTAATATAAGATAATTTTATTTGTAATTAGACTTAGTATATAATTATTTACTAGCTAGGGTTGTATAATATACGTCACCTAGACTTAGCTTATATCACGATTTGTAATTAGACTTAGCACGTAAGGTTGTGTAGGGTTCTAATGTACGACATTTACACTTAGCATACATGACTTAGATTGTTAAAACATAAATGTCTCGTGACTTAGCAGATGTTTCTTGTATCAACAGATGGCTGACCGCGATGAGGAACAGATATTGTACGATACAATCGCGGAGGGAAGCAGCCAGTACTGGAATGAAGAAGAGGGGAACAAGGATCCAAACCAGTACTTGAACGAGGAAGGGAACGTGGAGAGGGATGCGGAGGGGAACCAGCAGGGGCACGTGGAAAGGGATGTGGAGGGGAACCAGGAGGAGGAGGCTAGTGGTAGTCAACCCTCCGTTGGACAGAAGAGGGCACGCGGGCAACGAGGTGCAGCGAAGAAGCTTGAGGGTCGGCACATCATAACGGAAGTGGAAGAAGATGGACGTCCTAGTGCCCCGGCCGAAGCCGCCAAGAACTATGTACGTCACAGCGGTTGGGTTGTGCGGGATAACGTGCCTGTCAGTACGGTGTACTGGCGAAGAACAAGGGCACGCGGAGATCATGAGAGCTTTGTCCCAGATTCGGAGAAAGAGATGCTGTGGACCACAATGCTCGAGACATTCACCCTTCCTGCGGGTACAGAGGACAAAGTGAAAAGGTGGACTCTGAAGAAAATGGCAGAACAGTTTCAGAGCTTGAAGGGAGATCTGTACCAGAAGTATATACTGAAGGGGCAGACACCGAACTTCGACACATTCCCAAAGCTAAGGGATCACTGGGACGAGTTCGTTGCATATAAGACAGGTGAACAAGGGCAGGCGATGATGGAAAGAAACAAAGAAAATGCCGCCAAGAAGAAGTACCATCACCACTTGGGGTCAGGAGGCTATAGCATCGCGATGCCGAAGTGGGAGGAGATGGAGGCTAGCTTGATTGAGAGGGGTATCGAACCGGCAACAGCCAATTGGCCGGAACGATCGAAGTTCTGGTACTATGCTCACGGTGGAACGCTCAACCCAGCTGATGGCTCACTGGTCTTCGGCGATCAGATACGAGAGGCTGCGCGACGACTAACAGATGCAGTGGAAGCCTCCTCTCAGGGCACGTTCCGACCAGACAGAGATAGGGACGAGCTGACACTCGCCCTGCAGACTCCAGAGCATCCAGGACGAACACAAGGGAAAGGGGTGATTCCTTGGAAGATTGGTTTCAAGGAGGACATCCACACGTACAGGAGTCGGATGAGGAGCAAGAGAGATACCGAGGCGAAGATTGCAGACCTAGAGTTCCGGGTATCGAGCTACGAACTCAACATGCAAGAGGAGGTGGCAAGGAAGGTTGATGAACGCATGGCCGCACATCGGTCCCATGATCCCCAGCTGACCATTCCTCCTGCAATGGTGAGCCCGTCAGGAAACCGTAGCAGCTGCGCCTCAACGGGGCAGGTAGGATCACAGAGCATGGACGCCATGCAAACACAGGACGAATCGACCTGTCCCGTTGATGACATCACTCAGCGGACACCATGTGAGCTACATATTCCTTTCAAGAACTTATCAATAAAGGTAAGATTTAGCCATTCCGCTAGTTGCTGCTTATATATGTTGATTACTAATAAATAATCTCTCACAACATGAAGGTGGCGTCGGGCATGGCCATCCCAACGGACCCTTTAGGTACTTACCACTGCAGGCCGATTCCAGCAGGATACTCGAAGGTCGAAGTTGAGTTGGTCGAAGGCGCGTACGAGGACCTCGAGCTGGATTACCCTGGAGGAGACGGTGAGACGCATCTACGAGACACAAGCCATGCCATTATTCTATGGCGCAGGCGGTACATCATCCTCCCTGGGCGACAAGCGGCGTCTCGTGCACCATCTCCTCCGGCTCCGCCATCTCCTCCTCAGGATCCTGCACCGTCTCCTCCTCATGCTCCGCCAGCACCGTCTCCACCTCAGGCTCCAGCACCGACTCCTCCTCAGGATCCTGCACCGACTCCTCCTCGGGCTCCTACACATACTCCTCCGCAAGCTCCTCTTCCGGCACCTTCAAAGTCAAGGGCCCCCCCAGCTCCATCGCCTGCCCACACAAGGGCAACGAAGAAGGCGAAAGTTGACGCCGCCAAGAACAAGGACCCGGGGTACGATTGCACGCAAGAGGAGCTTGACGCTTACGTTGCATCAGAAGTCAAGAGACAATTCAAGCCTCGAAGTCCAGAAAAGAAGATTCCTATAGACCCCAGTGTTAAGAACTTCTTCAGGGGTATGTCTGCATCTGTCAAGGAGGCCATCAAGCTATCGGACTATGAGCGAACGCTGAAGAAAGCATCTTCTGGAAAGTCCAAACCAGTCCCTCAGCTTGGAGAGCAACCAAACCAGGAGATCGAGCCATTGGTGACCGGTAAAGAAATGACGATAGAACAATTTATTACTGACACCGGTCTAACTACGGATCAATTGCTAGGAGTCGCACCAATCGAAAAGGCGGAAGTGAAATACATGTACGAACTCGGTAAACCGCTTGTCAAGCCTGAGCTGCTGCAGTCCCTACCCACACAAATGTACAAGTTCCATCAGCTGTACATGGAGATGAGCGCCACCGGTAGAGAGATGATCGGAGCGAGGATCAGGGACACGGACTTCTTGCAAGGAGATGACATTCTCTGGATCAATTTCAGGGGAATCTACGAACTATACCAGCTGGACGCCCTCGACGTCTCTATTATGAGTTGCTGGATTTTGTAAGTATATCGTTCAATTAGATTTCTTACTATACGTCTCCTTTAATTAATTAGGTCCTTGTATATAAGTAGACTATATAAAATAAAATACTCCCTTTTATCGTTGTAGAATGGAGATTCAAAGGGCCCGACGGCAAAGGGTTTTCGATACTGGATTCATCGACCCTCGGAGAGTAAACGTCGCAATGCTCGACCAATATCCACAAGAAACAGAGGACAATCTCGTCCATCTCCTGAAGGCGCAGCATTACAAGACGTTCATACTGTTGCCGTACAACACAGAGTTAGTTCAATTTTACTGTCTTCCTACATACCAAATTTCATTCCCGTACGAACTTGCTAAGTGTTTCATATGTAATGCATCCCACGCACATTGCAGATTCCACTGGGTGCTTTTACTCTTCGACCTGTCGGCCTGCACCGTCAACGTATATGACTCAATGGATAAAAAAGAGTCTACGTTTGACAAGGTTTTCGAACTTATAGACAGGTACCGTCATAAGTTCCTCTGTTAATTAAGAAAATCTTGTTATGTTAATTGCTACTACGAATCATAGCTTTAAACTCCATGTAGGGCTTGGTATCGGTTCCGTCATTTGGTCCGCGGCAAATGGAGAGAAAGACTTAGGCGGAAGTTCAAATTTCCTGTGAGTACACATGCTCTACATTTATATTTCTCCGATTCAAATTAATACATACAACTGTATATTAATTAGATCTCACGCCGTTAATTTGTCATTTATTTGTAGTGCGCAAAGCAAAAGCAGGGAACTAACTTGTGCGGCTACTACGTGTGTGAGTATTGCCACTGCCTTGCAGACCAAATCATCACCACAAGAGAGCTCGATGTACGTACAAATAAATTCAAAATTTCATTACGTAACGATTTCTTGTTTAATTACTAATCAATTTCATACATTCATATAGTTTATTCGTATGAGGGATAACCTGACAACACACAAGGAATTTATCGCAGCGGTTCAAGAACAACTCATGGGATTCATCAACGAAGAAATCCTTGATCCCAAGGGTGAATTCTACTACGACGGAAACACAATTCACCGGTCCTTAGCTTCTGAGCTAGCAGCGACTACTACTACGTCGAAATCGTAGCTAGCTAGGACATATAATGGATTGTAATTAATACATGACTACATATGTTTCTATATGCATGTGTACACATTTTCTATAATGTAAATATATTTTGGTCATATATATATCTATATACATATGCATTTGCATAACATATATATGTATAAATACATATATATTATGCATGTATATACATATAATATAATATAATATATATATATACATATATATATGTATGCATATATATGTATTGAAACATATATATGCATGGTTTTTATATATATATATATATATATATATATATATATATATATATATATATATATATATATATATATAAACCATGCAGCAACAGGGCCATTCAAAAAAAAAAAGGTCAGCTCGATCTTTACTCCCGGTTATTTCACCCGGGACTAAAGATAGCGATCTTTAGTCCCGGATTGGTACTCCCGGTTTGGAAACCGGGACTAAAGGGGGGTTACGAACCGGGACTACAAAGGGTTTCTCCACCAGTGCATTAGCGTTAAAGGGAAGTTTTTTTGCGGCCGCCATACACGTTGGACAACTCTCCACAGTTTCCCCACCCGCATGTCGTTAGCAACAGATTTGGTCACTCCCTCCTTTATGATGCCATTAGTTGATCTCTCTAAACACAAAGCATATATGCTTCGTTTCATATCAGGAGGGTAGTGCCTTCTCTTCCTGATATTTATACCTGCACATATAGTTCATGACGCCTTAGTACGTGCTTACTAAAGGAGGCAACAGTAAACAAAATAAAAAACATAAGTCATGCATACATACGGCTTTAATTAGCATGTTGATGCCTATTATGGTTTGCTTGCATGGCACTGTGCATGGCTGCATGCAAATGGCTTTGAGGCTTTGAGCTTGTACAGGCCATGCATGCAAATGGCTTTGAGCTCAAACAGCTAAACGACTAGTGAGTACCTGTGGTTTCAGCTGCATCCACGGCCTCCGCTCCGTCGCCGGCGTCCGCTCCGCCGCCGGCGTCGTCATCTCCGTCGCTGCGCTCTTCTCCAGAACCTTCTCCATCTGTTCGTTCGAAACAAAATTGGATCATCAAACAAGTACAGATCGAAAAAAGACAGATTACAAAAGAGAGAAAAGGAAAACAAATCATGAATGAGCACCTTCGTTGCCGGGATCCCAAACGAAATCATAGTTCAAATAAGGTACAACTCCCTCTAAATCGTCAATTTCATCCCAATTGATAGGCTGATTCAGATCAAAACCAGCCATTACGTTGAACCATGTGAGGGTTTACGAGAGAAGAAAAAAGAGAGGTGAAGTGTGAACTGTGAATGGCCATTGCCCACATTTATAGGATAAGCTCAAAGTGGCGCTAATTTTCGTTCATGCCTTCCAAATTTAATTTGGTTGATGGCGCCTTCCAAATCTCCGATCAAACTGGCATGCATGGTGCTAATTTTAGTTGATGCTTTCCAAATTTTTATTGTCAGCGGGCGGGGCCAGAAATTAACGCGCGCGGGCAAGCATGAGCGATCAAGAAGTCTCATAAACGCGTGAAAATAGGACGTGGGATATGGGATACGTGCACGAAAATAGGACGTGGGATGGGCTACGCGCTGGGAAGGCCGAGGGCGCGCGTGAAGCGAAGCGTCGCGCGTTGGGATGGGCAAGATAAGTACATATATCCTTCGTCTCCGTGTCCAGAGCAGGTACGCTCTATATTTTGGGATGGAGGGAGTAAAATGTAACATCCAGATTTTTCTATCATGAAAATAATGAGAAAACTGGTTTAGTGACATGTGAATATACTACCTTCATAATTATGGCACTATATGTCCTGATTTATATATCTAAGTACAAGGTAAACTTGTTATTATCATTGATAAACTAACATAGTATTTTTTTTTTGCCCATAGAAACGGAAGCAATAGCCTATACATCTAAGAATATACCATCTCCGTTTCAGGTTATAACACTTTCTAGCATTGTTCTCATTTATATAGATGTTAATGAATCTAGACACAGTATCTAGATTCAGGCCCCCTTTAAATCGTAGGAATGAAAAAATAGAGGAATAGGAAAAACACAGGATTCTGACAAGAATACAATTATAAAACAGAGGTTTGAAAAACACAGGAATGGCCGTTTGATTGGACCACAGGAAAAACGCAGGAATCAGATGAGAGAGATAGACTCAGAGGAAATGTTCCAAGAGGTTAGACCTCTTGCTAACTTTCCTCCAAAATGTGCATAGGATTACCCATTCCATAGGAATTTTAAAGGATTGGATAGGATTCAATCCTTTGTTTCAAAGACCTTCATAGGATTTTTTTTTCCATAGGATTGAAATCCTCCAAAATTCCTATATTTTTCCTACAAATCAAAGGGGCACTTATTAACATGTAGTATATGAATATAGGTAATGCTAGAAAATCTTATAATATGATTATAAACTGAGGAAGTAGTAAGAATATAATAAGAGAGGTTTAAATCTAGTAAGAGAAACAAGATACGGATTAATTAGCACTTCTCAGCCATTTCTCAAGAGAGGTAAGTCAGGAGGAAGCCGAGCACTTATCGCTCGGGCACGCACCGCACTTCACATCTAGCAATTCCACCAAAATTAAATTTAAATTGAACCTACACATTGAGAAAAAAACAAATTCAAGAATGAATATATATAGTATCACTATTATATTCATATCCAAATTTATTTTTTTATACTTAATGTGTGAGTTGAGTTTGGACATAAGATTTTGTGGTCTTGTATATAATATATAGAGTGAAGTGCATGTGTAGCGAAATGACTATTTAGCGGCTAGTTGCGCGCGCGGTCCCCCCGCGCGACCGGACACGTGGCGCACGCGGAGTGGGGGGTGGGGGGTGGGGTGGACGGCACGCTCTCTCGTTCTTTTTTGTTTTTTTTTCTTTCGCTCTCCTCTTTTTTTTCCGTTTCTTTTTCAGTTTTTTCCGTTTCTTTTTAGTTTTTTTCCGTTTCTTTTTAGTTTTTTTTCCTTTTTTTATACATATGTATACAAACTTTTAATACATATATACAAACTTTGTATACATATATAAAAAATGTATACATTAAAAACCAACAAACCACATATATGCGTCTTTTTCTCTCGTTTTTCTTTCCAGGTCGGTTTTTTGGTTTTTAATGTATACGTTTACAAACTTTCTATACTCTATCCCCTTAGCCCTTTCATCGGCGACGACTCATCGTCGTCATCGTTCGTCCCAATCTCCGCATCCCACCATTCCCCCTTTCCTCCCCTCCTCGATGGCTCGCCTCCTCGCGCAAACCCTAACCTAACCCTAGCCCGCCCAGCGGCGGCGCCCCTCTTCCCTCTCCGCGGCCTCGCCATCAAGGTCGAGGTCATCGAGACCGACCTCGCCGAGGACGACGCTGCCGACACTCCGCCTCCACCGGTGATATAGATGGTCAAATGGGTCATCTAACACGGCCTCGCCCGGACACGACTAGAGCACAACCCAAGGCAAAATGTCAGGCCGACACAACCCGTCATACTCTTCATGTCGTGTCGTGCCAAGCCAACCCACATATTGTGCTTGTAGCCTAGGCACGACACGGCCCGTCATACTCTTCGTCATAAGATGCGGGCCGTGCCATCCGGCCTGAAAGCACGACCAATTCATCGCGCTCGTCTTAGAATAAATCTATTTTACCTCCCTCATCTCTTTAGAGCGTGACTTATATGGCTTAAAATAAGCCCATTTTACATCCTTCATTTCTTTGGACCGTGCCTTGGAATAAGTCTATTTTGCTTCCCTGGTTGTCGTGCCCGTCGTGCTGAGGAAAAGGCCCAGACACAGCCCATTGGTCAGGCCGGGCCGGCAGAGGCCCAACAACAATCGGGCCATGCCGTGCCTGGACCAGGCCAAATCTCCATGCCGTGGGCCGGGCCGTCGGGCCGTAGGCCTTTTGGCCAACAGTAACGTGCCGACGCTCCTGCCACACCGACACCAGGGGCCCACATACGCACGCACCTCGCACGTGAGCTAACCCATTCTCCTCTCGTCTCCGCGGCATCTGACATCTCTCCTCCCCCGTCCCTATCCCCTTCGCCCTTCGTCGTCGTCGTCGTCGTCGTTCGTCCCAATCTCCGCATCCCTCCATTCCCCCCTCCTCCTCGATGGCTCGCCTCCTCGCGCAAACCCTAACCCTAACCCTAGCCCGCCCGGCTGCGGCGGCGGCGGCGCCCCTCCTCCCTCTCCGCGGCCTCGCCACCAAGGTCGAGGTCATCGAGATCGACCTCGCCGAGGACGACGACTCCTCCGCCTCCACCTCGGGCCCCGCCTCCTCCCCCGCGTCGGTGGAGGTGGTCGGGGTCAGGCGCCTGGAGGAGGCGATCCACGGCGTCATGGTGCGCCGCGCGGCGCCCGACTGGCTCCCCTTCGTCCCCGGGGGCTCGTTCTGGGTTCCCCCCATGCGGCGGCCCCACGGGGTCGCGGACCTCGTCGGCCGGATCGCGGCGGCGGCGTCCGGGGCCGACGCGGAGGTGGTGGCCGGAGGGCTCGCGTACGAGCCGGAGGTGTACGCGCCCATGACGGAGGAGGAGGCGCTCTCCTTCTCCACCGCGCGGGGCTGGCCGTCGGCCTCCTACTTCGTCGAAGGTGAGCCGCTGGCCTCGGCTGGCCGAGATCTTGGATTCCCAGCTCGGGTTATGCAGAATTAATTGATTTTTGTTTTGTGGATTCGAATCAAGAACATTATTAGCGCACCACATCCGTTTCTGTGTTTGGTATTCATTGTGGACCATCATTTTTTAAGCTACACCTATTGAACTGGATTACATTATTTAGCTACAACTATTGAGCTGAATTCTTAGACCAAATTGCAATGTTGTAGTATGCCAATCTATACAATTCAGATAACTATGCTCTAGTAACTACAACCTGTGTCCAGGTGCATACCTAGAAACAGCTACATTTCTGGGACGGGTAGAACGATATCTTGCTACAAGAATTTTTAGAAGCAGTTTTAAAATTCTGTTAGGTTTGTTACCTGTATGTTGTTTCGAGTTTCTACAATACAAAAGAGTAAGGGCATTCAGCATTGGCACATTCTTTAGTCATGTGCCATCATGCCTGTTCTATTTGTCCAATTTATCCATTGCCTACCTCGGTACTTTTCTGGACGGAGGTAGTAATATCTTGCTACAATAATTTTTAGAAGCAATTTTTAATTTCTGTTAGGTTTGTTACCTGTCTGTTGTTTTGAGTCTCTACAATACAAAAGAGTAAGGGCATTCAACACTGGCACATTCTTCATCATGTGCCATGGTGCCTGTTCTGTTCGATTTATCCATTGCCTACCTCGGTGCTTTTGTACTTGCATGTGCAGTTACTCTCTTGTGACTCACGACACCATATTATACTATTTGTATGGACTCTTTGATATGTTATTCTAGGTTTGATGGCTTGCACTTATTAAAATCACCCTTTAAATCACAATTAAATACCCTAGACATGGATATTTGTAATTCTCTTTTGGAGATCTCTCTTATTTTATCACCAACTCATTTGCATGTGCGCCCTAAATTACTAGGTAATCTAGGGATATATCATGCAAATATTGTGTGGCAGGGGGGAAATATGAAGCTAAATTTGATATCCATATAGCACTTGTGCAAATGATACACTATAGATCTTTATTCGCTTGCACATGAAAGATGAATTGTGATGGCATGTCTTGAAACAGTGTTGGCAAACAATGTTCCTCTTTTGTTAATTACTCTGTTTTGCACTTTTAGGTCTTTGTAGTTCCATCATCTAGAAAATATAGCACAAAAATCTATATGGTGATTTAAAAACTAAGAATTGAACTTATAGTAAGGTGCAGACGTGCAGTAGTTCATAGGCAAACATTAAACCATTGTAGTTGATTTGTTTACTTCAGGACATTACTTGTGTATTCCGTACAAAACATGAATTGGTAAATTGTGTTAGTAATGGCTGTAGAGTTTACATTGTACCCTTGCAGTGTCTATGCCATGTGGTCTATATTACATTCTTCCCTTCCAGTGTCTATACCATTTGGTCTATATAGATTCTTCAGAAGTACATCACCTTCTATTATATATTCTAGGCATGAATATTTATCTTGTTGATTTTTTTTCTCAAGGCATTATTCTATTATATATTCCTGACCCTGTGTGCCAACACTGATCAACACAACATATCAGTTTCACTGAACAAATAGTATATAGAGTTGACATATCTTTCTCCCCAATAATTTGTTATGTTTTTTCCCTGTTGTTCCATGTGCATGCATTTCAAAACCTTGTTGAAGATTATTATTCTTGGCCATTTTTATTTGAGATTTAGCTTAATTTGTCACCTGACTAATTAATTATTTTCAAAGGGAAATTCCCACATACCAAGAAGAAGTCAAGGAAACGTGCAACCCGCACTGATGAGGAAGAAAGCTGATTGGCTAATGCTCCATTGCCAAGGGGAAGGTGATTTCTTTTTCTAGGAATTGCTTTATGTAAGTGTGGTGTTTATACTTATAACAATCAAAATCACTAATCGGTGGTCATACAAGGCTTAGCCTCTACAAGGGCCTCCCTGTGGCTCTGATAAGTGTGAGGGTACATGAGCACTGTCCAATGCACCTGGACAGGGAAGTTAATGATGAAATTGTCAGCAATGGCCACATTTCCTTATCAATTTCCATTGGAGATTTCATACATGATCGTATTGGATGGCTACTTGTGTTTGAAAACAATGTGAAGTGGGTAAAGATAGTAACTTTGAGATCTTTTAAGCATAACATCAACTTTTCAACATACATGTCTATATATATCAGTACCAGTATGAGAACAGTTACTTTTACTGTGGAAGTTCATAATTGGAACTTGGAAGTAATAATAATTTGCAGTCATTAAAGAACCAACTTTCGCCAGGCATATATAGTGTAGGTTTCTACTAGGAGTGAAGGAAAACTTCAAAGCCATACTTTGATGTTTGCTACTAGGGCTCTTGGAATAAATAACATGCAGCATATGGAAAGGTTCCTGAGAACCTTTGTCCTTCAATGCACCTCTTACTACGTTATGCCGATGTACGTAGTGGCTAGTGTTATCCTGTTAGGTTATTGTAATATACCATAATGCAGGGTAATACAGATGGATATTGCAGTGCACCAGTCTGGTGGTGTTCACATTTAGCTGACAAAATAAAACACTGCTTGGATCAAACATTTGTTCCTTTTATCAAACCAGACGTAGATACAGAGAACATGATGCTGCTCTTTTAAAGGGCAAATGCAATGCTTAGGATATCCTAATTACTGGTTATTGGTCCCTGCACTGCTGCCCTCTTATGATGTTTTTTAACATTTTTATAGTTGCTACCTGTTAGCCAATGATATGGACTCATGTAATGCATATTTGTAATTTGTATTGCAGTATAAAATCAAAATATTTTGCAGGGTAACTATGACAATACCAATGTTTGAAAGTTTGGCGTGCCTCATGTTGCCGCATCATACAACAAGGATGGAGCAACTTAGGTTGCTCCTATTTGCATGGGCATGTGGTGGTAACCACCTTGTCAGAAACAATGTAAACAATAAACAGTGAGTTTCCAGGTTGACAAGGCCATGTTTTGGACAAGGCTGAAACTAGTTAGTTCTTGACTACTAAACAAAGTTTGAGGCAAGACTGGTGATTCTGATAGACTTGGGTCACTAGTTAGATTTCTCATTGATTTCCATAAACTCTTTACTTTCTCCTAAATCCTTGCAATTGGGCATATCCTGTAAAAATGAATTTGCACACATAAAACTTGTTTGAACATTCAGTCAGTAGTTCGTACCCAGCTCTTCAGTCCCGCTGGGATTTTATCTGAATCTATCATTGAGCTAAAAACTTGGGTCAATGGTTAAATTTGTCTTAAATTTTAAAAACTCTGGTGCCTTGTACAATTTTTGATTGCAGAGCCTGTAAAAATGTAGGCTACACGCAGACAGCCTTGTTTCCTCTGGGAATTCACCTGTTTGTTTGCTTGTGTCCTTACTATGTGCTCCAAAAACTATGATTCGGCTAAAAGAAATTCTTTTTCTGCAGGCTTCTACAAGAAAAGGTTGTTCAGGGTTACACGTCTCTGCTATGACCAATGTACATATGGATGACGGCAAGGACCCAAGTGCTAATTAATCACCCCACCCCTTGCACTATGAAGATAATCTGTTGCAACTGCTATGATTGGGTTGCAATCTGTATATTTCACTCAGAAGCTGTAGTGTTATTGTATCGACCAGCCCTTGTGCCATAGCCTTGGTTCACGGTAATAAAACATGGAGGGAGAAGCTGGATGCTTGTGTTTGTGTTCTGCAACAGCCATAGAAAATGGAACACTAGCTGGAATCCAACAAGGACTGTGGATGGCTCTTTGTGCCAAGAAAAAAAAAAGAATGTTTGCAAAGCGCTGAGATAAAAACATCTACTTCCATCTCCAGTCTTGAATTTGTTTCCATATAAAACTGCATGTTGTAATGTCATATTTGACTTGTTGAGACCTAAAAGGTCAACTGTATGTGCATTTGGTGGACATGGCCTGCGAAGCAAATTTGATTACATTCTAAATTTATAGCTGGGAATGCCTCATCTATAAGAGAGAGCTGCTGTCAAGTGAGCATATGAATGTAACTGGTTGGTTGCTTCCTACGGCACTCACTATTTGATTATGTATGTGCGATTTGATATTAATGTTGGGTTTTAAGTGCTGGATCTGAAGTGTTCGTCCAAGAGCAGGTGGAAACCATGTTGGATAAATCAGGCTTCAAGTCGGAGCAAGAATGCACTAAAGTCCATTTGAAGGTCTAGTTGTCATGGTCGTATTGCATAATTGCATCAAAATTATATAGTCTATGACTGGAGCTGTTTCCATTTCTTGTCAAAAACAAAAGTTATCACTGACCTGCCCTGTGGCCTCATGATACTGGTATGTTTGCATATCTGAACTGATTGCGTGTGTCCGGTCCAAATTCTCTGTTGAATGTAGCAAGAAACACGAGTCACCCTCGCGAAAAAGAGATTTGATTTCTTGCCTTTTGACTATAGATTTCATATCAGATACACGGATAAGATATTCTAAACAACATGATCAGTTGTTCCTTTAAAGAAAAACGAAAGGGCATGATTGCATCATTGCTTTCCAGGATCTACCATAATCAAGAGTCATTGGGTGTTAAAGCCTGTATTGTACATCCATGGCACATGCTGCTCCCTACTTGCAGCACAACCTCACTTTCAGAAAAAAAAAATAAAAGGGAGGAGAAGAAAACAAAGGACAAAACTTGCATTGTGGTGCACTTAATACCGTCGCTAACAACGTCATTAAGTGTTGTACTGAGCCCCACTAACTCACCATGTGCCGTGTACTTAAAGATACAAAAAAAATAAAAAGACCATTAAGGCAGTAAGTGATCAAGACTTGCTACCTAGTAGAGCTGCCTCTCAGTCTCTTACCAAAGTGCACATCATGTATGAATTCAGATCACCACCTAGGCACCTAGCTAGGACCCTAGCCTAGAGAGTTTATATACATGGTCCTCAAATGACAAGAGGCCAAAACTGAAGTTAGTTAATTGGGGATCATTTGATGGTTTCTTTTTTTCTATTAATTTCTGTTTTTAGGGATAATGGATGCATTCATGTGTATCTTGTCAGCATAATGTTGATTGTGAGTTTCTGATCGTGTGTAGTTTGTTGAAGTTGATGCCAAATTAGGTGGTACCAACCAAAGGCATGAGAAAGAGAGAGAGGGAGAGGGAGGGTTGCTGGTGGGCTCACAGCGAAAAACATGTGAGCTTAGGAATCCTCCTGACTGAAAACATGGCAGCTTGGAGCTTCCAAAGTTTGTTGTCTCATGAATTTGTTGTGTCCATTGATCACCACAGCAGCATTCACCACCTATTTATGGGCTAACGCCCTTGGCAGCACACCGGCTACGCAGCGCAGTGAGTACATTGGCTGTGTACATCCGTGTTGGACGTAGAAACCGGTTTTAAATGTATTATTAAAAAAAGGGAATTTCGGACATTATGCCATTTGCCGTATTGCCACTTGTATTCCAGCTTCCGAAATATGCATTAGCTCAATTCTTCCATAGACTAGGCTCACATACACATAGCTCCACTCCCTACTCATGTGTAATATGTCGAATGCAATTCACTCACTAAATATCAAATTCGTATTGCTCACTCAATACACGTTTTTTATACTAGTCGTAGGTGATGGCGACTATGATATATGAGCTAGAGCTATTTGCGGAAGCGTTTGAATGCATATATCCAACGCATTTGTCCGTACAACAATAACATAACATATTAGCATTAGTTCTTACACAAAATACGCCAAATATACATAGTGTCATACATGGATCGAATGTTATTTGAATGCTATTTATATGGTGCGATCGCTAAAGCTACTAGTTTTTAAGCTATGAGTGCAGCCCTGTTCTTTGTAGATTAATTGCTACGAATTATTTGCAGATTATTCACGTCATGTTTCTAAAAATACGATTTGTCCATTAACTTTCTAAATCAATATTGCTCAGACCACTTGTTCAATGTGCCCTCTCAAAATAGGATAATGATAGATGGAAACTGAGTTTAACAATTAGTCGATGGCACAAATGAATAAATTAAATATTAGAAGTTGATAAGTTGATTTAAAAAATTTTAAGAAAATTATTGGAGGAATTTTTTTGCGAAAACATAACGTTTATGAGTTTGAAAAGTGTGGCGGAGATCATCTATAATCTGTAAACTACTGAGAACGTACCACCTAATCTATTGGTTAGGTTTACAATAAATCATATTTAATTTATTATAAACATATCATTCATTAGCTTTCATCCGCATTTCATCCATATCAAATGGGCCCTAGTTTCTAAGCTACTAGGGAGATACTTGAAATCAAAATCACAACTAAAAACATTATTTAAACATATGTTACATACCCTCTCTACTTTTAGGTATGTTAATGGTAACAATTATAACGACTTAACGATGTTTTATATTGTATCCTTTCCTTTGTTTTCCCACTCATTGGATAACAATCTACTAGCTATCCTTATCCCAGTAGGAGTTGTTACATTTTATACTAATGGAAATCAGCATTAGCTGACAACAGGCTAGTGACACTGTGACAGAGAGTGATTCTTGGTCTGTTGTAGGGAGAGAATTCAGAGATTCATGTCCCTTCCTCCCTCAATTTTGTTGTACCTTAATTTCTTTGTTTATTATTACTACCAATTATTTTCTCCATCGTCTCCCCATATGATGCTTCTCTGAAATTGACATGAGACATCTCTTAGGCTCACAAGACACTTCAGCTTCACTCTTCTTTTTGGCTTTAGTTTAAATGCAAGAGTTTTACAGGAAATAACTCAAAAACTCCATTTAAATGGAGGAATAAATATCATTCAAACCAAACATAGGAATGAACTGGAAAAATATCACAAAACGGACGCACAGGAATATCAAACTTTAAGAGGGTTGGCAACTAACTCCACATGGCGTCCAATCAATCATATCTGATCCTTATGGAAGAAAAAGAAGATGTCATAAACAGAGAATAAAATGAAAGTTGCCTGATGTCTGCTCTTTTATATCACCAATGTACTCACCTTAGGCTCACAATAAAATGCAAAAGAAACTATGCGATTTTCTCAATGGTTTGGTTTAATATCGTACAAAGATCATGGAATTATATTATGTATGAAATATATATAACATGGGAATGAAATTTTACAATGAAATGCACATAAAATTGAAACTGGAACAATTTATAACACTTCTGGAATTCTTCACAACAAAAACTTGTGAACTCTATTCCACTGAGAATCCCCAAACAGCTCCATGGTAAAACTAAAGCCATCCATGTTACAAGTATCCAAAGCCCAACAGAAGAGAAAAAAAACAGAGAAAAATACATAAAACACTATACAACCAATGCATAATCACAACCTGCATTTGCACATCCTTTTCAACTCTAACATCCCACAAAATAAATCCAGGGATTTCGACAGGCATTCTCTTTCTCAGCATGTTTGATGTATCTTCGTGCCAGTCGAGATGGGTTCAGATGGATGAACAATCATCAACACACTGTCGTTCCTTTGAACAACCCCCATAATACAAACTCTGCTGCCCTCCTTGATGTATCTGCAATTCTGCATGTAAATGTGCATGTGAAATGATTTCATATAACTCCAAAATTCAGAACAAATAAGAGTACCCTTTTTTTAGGAACATTATACGATCATCACTTAAAACATTCCTTTCTCGTAGCCGTTTCAGGATCTCAGGACGTCCTTGTTATCCGGATTTATGTCAGTAACAACAGATTCATCAACATTAGAGGTTACCCGTGCCCCATATCCTTTTCTGACCAATGCTCGCCGTCCAGATTGGAAATCAGAAATGTAGAAATCGACAGCATGTCGCCACAATCATAGCAAGGAAAATGTGAGATTGCAGGGTTTATGTTGGGAAGAATTATAGCAGTTTGCATTCTTCAATAAAATCCTCATGGCATTAAACACTAGCGCACTGTGAGATCTCATCATCTTGATAATAATCAAATTTCCAGTTGAAGAGAAACTCACCTCCATTGACCCGAGTCCCAAGTTAAATTAATCTGCAATGCTCAGCATTAGCAGCTTTTGATACCCATCCCCTGTAGGCTGTACTCATACAGGCAAGTCCAATGTACAAACATCTTGGAACCCTTTGAAATGAGGACTCGACGGGAAAATTTCCATAAGTAACAACCTGTGAAGATATGCTAGTTGTTAACGATGTGAAAAATAAAGCATATTGCTAAAAGGCAATCCAAGTTTCTATAACCACAAGATTACTGTCAAAAGAAAATATATTATGAGAAGAAATCATGTTAGTGTCAAGTACAGGTTAGTAGAGTTACCTGCTTGTGAAACTAACCTATATGATCAAAGCATCCATGTGCCTAGAAGTTTGTTCTTGTTTCTAATTAATATCAATATTATTACTACAGATGACCATCTAAAGTATTTTGTGAAACCTACAAATCAAAACTGCTCAGCAGAACGATGGAGCAAAATCAATATTTCTGACAGTCACACCCCAGTAACTTTCATGCACTGTCCATCTTTTGCTGTTCTAAGATCAGAATCAGGATAGCGACTGATGAACAAAATCATGCCTCTTGTTCCTCAGTAAATTAATATTCCAAATCGCAATTGCAGCGACAGAAACAAAGTATCACCACCACAAACTACCAGCAATATAGGATTATGAACAGCGCCAAGAATGAATCCACCTGCTATGAAACACCATCACAAAGAGAAGAACAACCATATATCCAGAGAATTGACTTCGGAATGCTGCCCTTGATTGAGTAACCATCTTCTACATTCAGATTTGTAACAGCCCGGCTGTGAGCAAAAGAGGTCGCACCACCAGATGAACTCATAGGTCCAGAGGAGATAGGTACTGATGTGATTAGCCTAGTTTTTTTTTTTTTTGCGATGATGTGATTAGCCTAGTTGTAGGAAGAACGGGAGATAAAGGGCCAGATGACTTCTTTCCTAGTTCTGCCAGAGGAATCAAATTCTCAATAGTTGCAACCAATGGCATTTGAAACTGGTCGAGAGTTGAAACCAGCACCACCAAATGAAGTATACTTCATTTCTTGAAGGTTGATTGCCTAGAGGACCAGATTCCCACTACTTTTCAATGTGGAGGTCAAACATTTTTACAGCTCTCCAGATTTATCATTTTCTTAGCTAGTGGGATGGAAACTGTGAACCTATGTTCTGAACCAATAAAATTCAACTATACCTTGAGAATGCATGTAAGCAAGCAATACTACTGTCAAGTTTTTAAGCACATCACCAACAATGTCATATACAACCAACACCTTCCTTGTCTCAGCACCTAAAACAGAACAAACGAAATTAAATCACATAAATAAAAAAGAATGGAAAAATCGGTTAACATAGCACATGTGGGATGCAGGATGCAAAATTCGGAAAATACCACCCAAAAAAATAGTCTACTTTGCTGGATACCACCGGCGCCGCGAGCTTGAGCTTGAGCCTGCCATCCCCTTCTCCATTCAACGCTGGCTCGTCACTCGTCTAACACAGGTCGTCGATGGTCAATCATCTAGCAGAAAGAACAGGAGGGGATTAGGCATTGCCGGGAGTAGTCAAATCAGAAGATGCAAAACACACTAGATTTGATTACATGGAGATGGTTGCATTTGGATTCTTTTTCTTTGTACTCCCTAGAGTCAGAATGCCAGATTCAGAACCAAAATCACCAAACCAAGAAAACAAACTAGCACAAATTCATCTGAAGAACACAAATCAAGGGATTGTCCAAGATCCATACTACACTCCAATGTGGACTCAATTTCTTGACAACAACATACATACCAGCCCATGCCCTAATCCCATCTCTCTCTCTCTCTCTTCTTGCCCTCGATCGGCCGCGCATCTCTTCTCGCCGCTGCTCGTCCCTCCCTCTCCTCCTGGAGGAGAAAGCGTCCGAGGAAGGAGAACAAACTTCCCCAATTGAAGGGTATTTCGGTCCTTTCAATTCAACGTTCTGTGGAAAGCTGTGGTATTTTCCGAACAAATTAGCGCGCGTCAAGAGTCTCAAGTGCCAGATTTTTTTTTCTTTCTATTTACCGAATTGGACATCCTACCGAATTTATTAAGGGTTCGTTGGAACCATACCACTCTAATTTTTCAAAATTTGAGATATGCCACCCGTATCTCAATGACATGTATGACCCACATGAGTCAATGATATATGGGTCAGGGTGGCATATCACAAATTTTGGAATGGTTCAAATTTTCCCATTTATTTTATTAAACCATGTTCTGCCAAGTTTCCCAATTATGGACGATTAAATATGACCCAAGATTGATTCAAGGTAGAACCAAAGGGCATGTTAAAAGTAGAGCATGATATAGGACCTCTTTAGTCCAATCTGAGACTATTCTCTTACCAACTTAAAATGATAAAAGATTCTAACCATTAATATACTGAAATTTTTTTCTTATATTTCTTTCACTTTTTCCATCATTTTTCTTTTATAGACACTATGAGTCGATATTAAGCCGTTGTTGTGCATAACAATGATGTTTCTTAAAAAAAACAACGATGTTTCTCTCTCTTCCATATCAGCAAACTTATCTTGTTAACGAGTTCGGCAGCTGAACATAGAGAGGAGATTTGTCTAGTTCTTCGTGCACACGCTTCCCGAACTACTAAACGATGTGTTTTTTTGCAAAAAAAAATCTATAGAAAAGTTGTTTTAAGAAATCATATTAATTCTTTTTTGAAATTTAAAATAGTTAATACTCAATTAATCATTCGCTAATGGCTCACCTTGTTTTGTGTATCTTCTCCATCCTCTTTTTTCCTTCTATACTCCCTCCCTATAGTTTGACTAAGAGTATAGTATTGATTGTCGTTGCACTCCCTCCGTCTCATATGATTTTTTTTCTCGGTAAAACTTTTTTACGTTTGACTAACTTTATAGAAAAATTTAGCAACATCTCTAATACCAAATTAGTTTCATTAAATATAACATTGAATATATTTTGATAACATGTTTGTTTTGTATTGAAAATGTTGCTATATTTTTCTACAAACTTAAAAACATTTAACTAGAAAAAAAACTTATAATATAAAATGGAGGGAGTACATGCCCTACTCAATGCTACTTAGTGTAAGCCTGGGTTGCAAGCAGTGGTAAGCTATCACACGCTCCATATTGTTTTAGCGTGTTGGTCAGGAATAACGTGGGTGCGGCTTAAAGAATCACCGATTGCAATCCCCGGTTCACAAATGATGTTTCTTCTATAAAAACCTGGTAGGAACCATCATGTAAAATAATATAGTTTTAACTCTTTTTTATCGGTTGTAGTCGTGTGACCGGGTTGAAACTACTTACCACTCTCAAATGGTTCCTACCAGGTAGGAACAGAGCATTTAATCCTTATTATATGTTAAAATACAAATCACGGATGTCATAACACATGTTTAGATTAAACTTTCGTCGTAGAAGCACCAATAACGGTTTGATAAATGTGTTTTAAGATATCACACATTATTACAAATTTACAATAGAGAATATTTACTTCTCTCCAATGAAAGTTAACGGAAAGAGGACCCTAGCATGTGGTATTAGTGGTGCAAACACCACATTTATGGGTGGTGTAGAAAATAAGGTGGGTTCCACGGGGAAAAAGCCGTTCCTCTTCAACCTCCCCATGACCCTTGGCATGCGAGAAAGTTTCCATCGCTACCTTATATCTCTTTATCCCTACCACCTGAATCTAGCAATAATTGGTCCATGTATCCCGCTTCCTCACACTTACAGGGCATCCATGTTGTATCATTACTCCTAAAATCCTATACTTCTCATGCCTAGCATTTGTTGGAAATTTGGTCATAATTCGGCATATTTTAATCCAAAATAACAAGATAATAATCATGATATTTACAATAGGATTTGATCCAGTGATAGTGGTGAATGTAATCAACATGAGCATGCTTAACGTTGAATAAGCATCAACAATCACATAATGACACAATGTTGACATTGCGATGAACATTAACAGTAAAACTTCTAATTGAAATAATGTAATAAGGTTATACCCCAAGAATGGTCCTCCGCTGGAGTTTGAGGCAGTATTGCCTCCGTTGGTGTTGACGGGAGTCTCCTTCTCCTTGTCTCCAGTGTTCGACATGTTGGTGAAGATGAAGTAGATGTTGACGAACAGTGAGTAGTCGCGCCTTGCGCTCCCCAAAAACCTGATCGCCCGCCCGTCTGTGCAAACGTCGCAGCAACGCGTGGTTTCGGAGGCCTACTCTCCCAACGCGTGTGCACACACTCGTCGGGATGGGATTACCGTAGCAGCAACAACTTTTTAAAATGGATGAAAGTGTGTCTTCTTTTTCTCGCGGGAGATCAAATCCATTCCCATTTTATAAGAGGAATGGAAGATGAAAAGTAAGAGTCATGGAATAGGAAGAGGAATGGAGCAACTAATTGTCATCAACTAGCCATGAACCATCCTCCACTACACAACCATCAACCAACAATCAATTAAGAGTAATTGATGTAAGTTACCAATGGAATAGGAAGAGGAATAGAGCAACTAATTGTCATCAACTAGCCATGAACCATCCTCCACTACACAACCATCAACCATCCATCAATTAGGACTAATTGATATAAGTTACCAATTCCTTAATCAAATGGATTAATTCTCAAAACTCTTCATCCCATTGATATCCCATAGAAGAATGAATTCACATGAATTCCTAGCATAATGAGCCTTGGAATTTATTTGATTTAATTGATTTAAATGGATTAATTACCCAATTAAATCTAACAATCCCCACCAAATTTCAAGGCTCATGAGAATGCTCTCTATTCCATAGCAGCTTTTATATACCAGTGTTTCGGTGAAGACTGTTAAGTTGAACTTTCACCTAGAAAAGGAGCTACACCTGACCACAACTGAACAATGGACTATGCCTTGAATTGTCAGTCTTGTGCAGTTAGGTTTCACTCAATTCCATAACTGAAACTAGGCAACCATTAGTATTCCCTCGGGTTGGAGCTTATAAGTCATACTCCAGGCCTTTCATGAGTATCTAGAGATCACCCAAATCTCATAGACTGTGACTAGCAGTCGAACTCATATAGGTGTGTTCCTTCTAAGATGTTCTGCAGGTCAACATCTCTGCTTGGAAAAGCCACTCGGATCACATTAAGACATAAGCCATCCTACCATGCAGGAAAGAAGAGAAGCACATCATGAAAATGAGCCCTTTTCAAGGGTCTCTTCTCTCAGTCACACAATAGTTTGTTTCACCATCCAAATTCACGGGATCTCCGATCATAATGGACAGGTTTCCACTATTATGCAACCTTAGGTGGGTATCAAGCCCATTTCCCTCGATGCACTGTCTATCACATTACGTGGTAGCCCCTTGGTAAACTGATCTGCCAGATTTCTAGCCGTTTGGACATAGTCCAATGCTATCACTCCGGAGTTTTTCTGCTTTCTGACAGATTTCAGTCTTCTCTTGATGTGTCTAGATGACTTCATGTTGTCCTTTGAACTGTTCACTTTAATAATCACTGTTTGATTATCGCAGTTCATTAGGATAGCTGGCACTGGTTTTTCAACCACCGGCAAATCCATCAGGAGTTCACGAAGCCACTCGGCCTCAACTGTCGCAGTATCTAGTGCTGTAAGTTCTGCTTCCATTGTTGACCTCGTTAAGATGGTCTGCTTGCAAGACTTCCAGGAAACAGCGCCACCTCCAAGTGTGAACACATATCCACTTGTGGCTTTTATCTCATCAGCATCAGATATCCAGTTTGAGTCACTATACCCTTCTAGTACTTTTGGATACCCGGTATAGTGAATTCCATAGCTCATAGTACCCTTTAGATAGCGCATTACTCTTTCCAGAGCCTGCCAATGATCATCTCCCGGATTTGAGACAAACCGGCTCAGCTTGCTTACAGCAAATGAGATGTCAGGCCTCGTTGCGCTAGCCAAGTACATCAATGAACCAATGATTTGAGAGTATCTCAGCTGATCCCTTGCTATTCTTCGGTTTTTCCTTAATAGCACGCTGGGATCATAAGGAGTAGGAGCTGGCTTGCAGTCACTATATCCAAAGCGACTCAAAACCTTGTCCACATAGTGGGATTGCACAAGTGTAATCCCACCCTCATCTCCTCTTTGTAGTTTGATGTTAAGAATAACATCAGCCTCTCCCAAATCTTTCATTTCAAAACTCTTGGACAGATAGTCTTTGACCTCCTCAATCAGATTAAGGCTGGTCCCAAAGATCAGTATGTCATCGACATATAAGCACAAGATCACCCCTTCTCCCCCACCATAGCGATAGTATACACATTTGTCAGCTTCGTTCACAACAAAGCCTGCAGATGTAAGCGTGGTGTCAAACTTCTCATGCCATTGCTTAGGTGCTTGCTTGAGGCCATACAAGGATTTCAATAGTTTACACACCATTCCCTCCTGACCTTCTAGTACATACCCGTCTGGTTGATCCATATAGATCTCCTCCTCCAGCTCTCCGTTTAGGAAAGCTGTCTTAACGTCCATCTGATGGACGAGAAGACCATGAGAGGCTGCCAGAGCAAGTAGTACTCGAATCGTGGTCAAGCGAGCAACTGGTGAGTATGTGTCGAAGAAGTCCTCGCCTTCCTTTTGGGTATAACCCTTGGCCACAAGCCTTGCCTTGTACTTTTCGATTGTACCATCAGGCCTAAGCTTTTTCTTGAAAACCCATTTGCATCCTACGGGCTTGCACCCATATGGACGCTCAACGACTTCCCAAGTACCATTAGACATAATCGAGTCCATTTCACTGCGTACTGCTTCCTTCCAGTAGTCAGCGTCAGGAGATGAATATGCCTCTTCTATGGTTCTTGGGGTGTCATCCACGAGGTATACAATGTAGTCATCTCCAAAGGATTTTGCAACCCTTTGTCTCTTACTCTTGCGAGTATCTACAATGTTGTCCTCCTCAGGATTTTCCTCAGGCGTTTGATCATTGTGTTCTATCGGTGCAAAGTGCTCATGGGGCATGACAGTTTCTTTACTAGAAGTGCTAGGTG